AATTTTCAAATCTCAAAAAATTGGTATTTCAACTGCAACTTTTCTCATCCATAACCACACGCTTAAATATCATACGACTTCATATATCCGTAAGATCTCAAGTCAAGATTAAAAAATTTACTACCACGGACGAATAGGTCAAAAAGATATGACGAAGCATAAGCAATTCTTTCGTATCCAAACTGGGCACGAGCAGTAGTGTATCACATGGATGCAAAAACTCTTCAGGCTTCTGAGCAGTCGCCTTTTGTTTGTAATTTACATGAGCGAAGGGTGAAATCTGAAGTGACGAACTTGATGCTCGTCCCAGAATGCAATATATTTTTCGCCAACGTTGAGCCCCTTGAGAGTAATCGGTAGCTGAATAACTTGCTGCTGTTCGGCGCTTCGCAAATTTATTAGCGACACCTTTTTTAAACCACACTGCACAACGGCCACCTGCAAAAATTTGTTTCTTCCGTTTGCAGCATCGCATATTTCGAAAAACTTATTTCTTGGAATATTTTTGACAACATTTTTTCAGCAAGATTTTTATAAGTAATCTTTATTTAATAGAAAAATGTCTAATAAGAATAAAGATTACTCAGCAACATAACTAATGCTCCAGTATCGACAACAGGCAGTCCTCTTTTGTTACTGTAGGCCAGTCCGGTTAGTTCTCGTCCTTTTTTATTTTTTATGAATATCATCTGTTTTCTAGTGTTTAGGGAATCAGGCCCTTGCACAAATTTATATACCTTAATTTTACACTGTCTCTTATACATGTTAACGCTGCAACCGTCATCCCACTGACTGAAGAAGTCCAGTTGTAGTAATGAATAGGAAAGCACACGAGTTAGTGGACCGGAATATTCCTGTTCATCTGATTATTTCTTAATTTATATATCAATCTCTCTTAATATATAATTAAAATCTTTATTTTTACACCTCTTGTTATGGAAGCCCCACTATTGTTGATTACGAAAATATAAACAGTAGTACGTCTTAACAATGCATTAGGTTATGTGTGAGACTCGCAGGCACTTGCTATTTTTTAATGAAGTGGTTCTCTGGTACCGAAATCAAATGCACAGCACAACGAAATCTCTCACCTTCCACGATGTAACTTATGAAAAATATAAGGGCCAATCGGCTGAGATAGATTAAAACTGTCCTAGATAAATCTACTCAACGTCTCAGGTAAAGCTATAACATAAGAGTTCAATAAATTGACTTACCGTAACAGAGGAAAGTTTTATAACTGGCTGACTGTTTGGTATCGAGTATGAAATAAAAATTAGACTCAAAGTCAATTTCTGCCGATATGGATGGCATCCCATCTATGCATATATTGAGGGGATGAATCCAGAACTTCCTTATAAGTTTCACATGGCTTTTATACAAGCAAAAATTCTTTGACAGAAAATCTTGGATCTTTACATTAATACAGCTCCATGTAGGAGAACGAAGCATAACCAGTTATCACAGTCAAGACCTCTTCTTTGTTTTGCTCTTAATGAAAAGCAAAAGTACTCAGGAAGGAGCCAAACTTACCATCAGCTTTCTTATAAGGAAATCTCTAAAAAGGCTGCCGGTAGCAAATAACAGCAGCCTCTTTAGAGATTTCCTTACAAGAAAGCTGATGGTAAGTTTGACTCCCTGACATACGCCATTATCAATTTGACATCGAAACGAATCGTAAATGGACTGGTTGCCCCACCCGAAGATTGGACTTTCAACCTAGTGAAAGACAATAGTACTGCTCATCGTACCATGTCTGCCGGCACAGGCAGCTGTAAAGTTTATATAAGCATAAATAAATACCCAGGCTGAAACGCACCAGGCGGGCCCGTGCGATCATGCGTTTTTGCACAGGACTTGAAG